GCTTTCTCTTCCCCTCAAACTGTCTTGAAGTTCAGGATTTTAGGTACAAAGTAGGAGTCAAGAAATATTGACCTTTTAGGAATGCATGAGAAAAGATCTTGTAAAAAGACATTTCACCTCTTCTTTTTTGTGGTTACATTACCTAAAGATCTGTATCACTAATGTATTTTAAATCCTGATCCAAAATTTGCAGAAGTAAGAGAAAGCTTTTTAGGCTGAAGACCTGACTTTGTAGGTTTTTGCTCAGATTGTTGCTCACCACTGACATTAATATATTCCAGAGAAATCCAGCCAAACTTTGTTTGCAACATCTCTCAAAGTTTCTGTTTTTCTCATGCTTTCCAAGAGGAATGACAACGTTACTTCCAGAATCTGCATCATCCAACTGTCCAGATGGCACTTTCATCTTAACCATTAATGACACTTACAGTTATGTTGTACTGAAGACTCTTAAAGATATTAATGTAATTATTTTCTTTTGCTTGTTACACTGTGGTGCGGTTGGACTTTTTATTATGTTGCTGCTTTGCTTGAACATTCATCTGTGTTGTTTTTAATTTTGCCGTCGAGTTCATCGTAATATTAGTAACATATGCAGCCATGAATTTTCAAAAGCAATATCTTATATGATATTCTTTAAGAAAAAGCAAAACACGTCTTTCACTTTCTTTTACAAGATCAGAGGAAGTAAGCCATCAGGTGCTGTTTTAAAACAGTGAATAATTGCCAAAGAACCCAGGTAATAAACTCCACAATTTAACAGCTGCATTTATTACAGTTAATCATGATTCTAATTCATTTACATTTAATGAATGAGGCTCACTCCACATCAGGAAATTTGCAAACACTGAGCAAAATGAAATGAGTGCGCAGCTATTGCCTTTGGCCCTCACAGCATTTGGGAGGAAGAGGACTCAGGGACTCACAGGTGAGGCAGGGAGCCTGATGGTGGGTCAGCAAGAAGCCAGCCCTGACAGAGGGATGGAGACAGCCCGGCACGGTGGTGCCAGTGCCTGGGCACCTGCTGGCTTGTGATCATCTTTCAGGGGCCACCAGCCACTGCCCCTCTTACACAGCCGGCCCAGCAGACGTCTGAAATTATCCTGTCACTTCCCCTATACCGCTTTGAGAGCTGCTGAAAACAGGTCTGTCTTTTGGGTTACACCATGAATCCATGCCCTAATTGCTAACTCACAAGTGTGACCCCAGGGTCGTCCAGATACAATCTGGCCAATCTCTACCTTGCCCTTTTTCTGCTTCCATTTTCATGTGTGCACCTCATTCAGCATCTCTGGATTTGATTATTTTTCCATAGTGCTGCTGTGTGGTAAGGATTCTTCCTTGCTCCACTTGCAAGTGCAACTGCATGTCAGTGGCTGGTGAAGTGATATATAAATACACACTTACATAGGTGTAATAAAAATTTTCACACATCATTGAGGAGCTGAGCTAGTTCCAGTGGCATAGTCTCCTGGTCTCACAACCCTACACTGAGAAATTTATACAGACCTCAAGTAACAGTGCCGTCTCATAAATTAACATCTGGTAGTGTGAAGTGCAGCTGCACCCACTGTGCTTTAGATGCAAGTGTCAGGTAGAGCAGATAGTACGGAGGGCAACAGAGATTAGCAAGAGCTTTCTGAAAGAGAAGCCTGGGAAATTAAAGGTGCTACAGAATTTATAGTGAAACCTGTGGGAGCAATTAAAGACAACTGCATATGTAACCCCTGCAAGTTAATTTTTTTGACGTGTTTTATAATAGTGGAATAAGCATTTTTTCTAAAAATATATGCCATTTACTTGAAAGAACAGGATACGGTTCACTGTGAAATTCTGCACATGGTTAACCCTGTTAAAAAAAACAATCCGAATCCCCAAAATATCACCCTGGAGACTATTAAACAAGATGACAAAATGGAATTTCTAAAATTAGTGATGATGTGGATTTCATTTAATGTCTGCTATGACTCAAAGTTTGTATGAAAAGAAAATAAACGTGTGTGTGTGTGTGTGTGTGTGTGTATGTCTGTGTACGTATATGTGCGCAGCAAAGCAGACCATACCATTTGCTTACAGTTTATATCCTCCTTACAGATTTCATGAATTGGAATATATTTCTGGTTCAAATGTCTTTTCTGAGTTTGCCAACTCTAGAGAACAACAACCAATTTGCTTTCCCCTTGTCGTTAGAGGAGGATAACCGTTTATATGTCTCCAAACTACTCCCAGTACTTGTTTACACTTTGGATTAATTCACTCATAAAACAATGCTTAACAACAAAGCAATGAAATGTACCCATGCCCTGCGTGACACAAGACTGAAAAGGTGGTAGCTTTTCCTTTGCTAAATCTGTCTATATCCCACACTATGAGATAGAGTCACTCTGGAAACAGCAGAAAATAATATTCCAAGATTCTACTTGTTTCATTCTCACTCTTCACCCGGCAGAGGGTTGCAAAGACAGATGACCAAAAAGAGTCCTTGGAGGTCTCTGAGTGAGAGCAATAAACCCAGCAACGATTAAAAGACTTTTTAACCTGGAGGCCAATGAATAATTCCACCTGACAAACAACAAAACATTTTAGTCTTCGAATAGTTTGAATGTCACATCTGTTTGCAATAGTTTGTACCCATGAACCCATGGGTAACCCACAGCACACCATATGGTGCATGCAGCACCCGTTTTTACGCCTTGCAGCCTATTTCTTTGGAACCTTTTCTCAGTGACTCTCTCCCTTGTGTGTTCAATGTTTGTAATTCAATACTTGGGCAATTCTGGACGTGTGATAGTATTCTGAATGTCGAATTGGTGAGTGACATTATTAACATCTTTCACCTTTAACTTCCCCTAAACATGACGAGGGGATCCTTCCAAAAACATTAAATTGTGTTTTGCTTTAGGCGTAGGCCACATGAAAACTAAATCAAAGACTAACTTGAAACTCTTGCTGTCCATATAGGAATTTTATGTTCTGCAGTATGTTTTCCTTGTCCTAATTAATTACTCCTTAATCTCCAAAGGTACAGCAT